TGATTATATACTAAATAAATGTATTATTATTATTATTAGTGAAATAATGACTTAATCAAGAATTCATTTAAAATAGGAACACATTATTTTCAAACTTAAGGGGGGCCCCCCCTCAGGAACGAACTTTGTTATTTTTCATCCGATTTCAACCAAAATATCAGGGAATGTTAGTCTTGGCTAGAATAGGTTATCGTTAAAATATCTCCTCCAAATCTCAAAGTTATATATGGGTTCTAGGCTCTTTATTGGTCAAAAATAGGGCAAGTTTTTTGCAATAAAGATACAAGCTAGAGTGATGGGGCAGCTTTCAGATTGTAGAGTGCCCTTAGGGCTAGGACTTGACAAGACCCGATTTTTGAGTTTCCCTTTATTTGATTTTTAAAAGACGTTTTTCGAAAAACTTTCAAATTCAAGGTGCTAATGAAAATAAAGTGTCTCAGCTTTTTATTTCAGCAAAAGAGAAATTTAAAAATCGGAGCCTGTCAAGGCCTAGCCCTGCATGTCACCTATATAATAAAAAAAAATTATCATTTCCATGTCGAATCGTTATGGAGAAAAACCTGCCCGTATACACTGCACACACGAAAAATCTGATTTTGAGAAAAACGAAAAACAAGGCTTTTTAGTGCAGTAAGTGTCTTTATTCGAAATAAGTCTACTTATCTCCTAATATTTTCACACTATTCATTAAGCTATATTGATAGCCTATATGGGGACATATCATAATATGGTTAATGGTACATATCGTACCGAAATTGTGGTCGTAGTTTCTTATACGTAGATGTCACGTCATGTTACGGATGTTTTATCAAATGTATGGTTAGTTCGCGTGATTATATTTATAAACTTTTACCTATTCAAAATGGTTGTATATATTTCACGAAATATATTTCACGAAAGCATTGTTCCTATACAATGCATAGGACAGAAAATGAATTACATACTTGTATAAATGCGTGCATTCAATTCAACATCGTTGAAACCTTTATGAAATTAACTTTTGTGTTAGAAAGCTACAAGCATTTACATACAATTGAAGTTCATAAAAGATATTTCATAATAACTGAGAATACAGTGTTAATGATATTTTTCATTCTTTTGTTTGAATGATAGAACTGAAATTTTTACGACATATAGAACTAATCAAGATCTTTTAGTTTTGAAAGTTTCAGCTCTCTGGCTACGACTAACGGTACAATACACCGATCAAATTGAAATACATAAGTTTTCATACTCACTTTTTGCCCCATTTTTCGGTAAAAATCGAATACGAAACTTTATGTATTTCAATTCGATTGATGTATTTTATCGGTAGTCACAGCTAGAGAGTTGAAACTTTCAGAACTAAAAGATCTTGATTAGTTCTATATGTCATAAAAATTTCAGCTCTATTGGTCAAACAAAAGTATGAAAAATATCATTAACACTGTATCCTCAGTTATTATGAAACACCCTTTTTGCCTCAGTAGCACATCCTCAGAAAAGAAATTCGCCAGAAAAAAAGACCAATGTACACGTTTTGGCAAAACAAATTATGCTAGGTTGTAGTTCATTACAAGGGCTATCAGAATATGTATAAATCTCAAAATCGAGTTTTTTTCGAAAAATTGACTTTTCTGAGGGGGGGGGCCCCCTTAATAAAGGACATCTATTCTTTCTTTTTTATAGTCGATTATCGAAATGAACTATCGATATATTCATTCCTTTGAAAATAAATAAATACGAACTTGTAACATGAATGGATCATACTAGGTTTATCAAATTCAGATCTCTTAAGTCAATAGATGTACCCAAACAAGAAAAAAAAAGTTTATTAGGGAATTCAAGTTAATTTTGATGACTTTAATAAAAATATATTATGTTAAAATCCTCATATTGTTATAAAAAAATTTAGAAAAACAGAAAAACAAATATAAATTGTTTATGATCAATAATTTTATTGTACAAAAAAATATTTCATTTGGAAAATTGTTGGATCCACCAGCGAAAATTTATTAAAAACGTTCGATCTTCTCAGAAACAAGCTATAGACCAGAGATGTCCATCGCGGCTGAAAATCTGCCGCTGCCGCTGCCGCGCCGCGGCCTTAGAAAAAAAAAGCTGCCGCACCGCTGCCGCGCCGCGGCGGTTTATAAAAAAATGTTGCCGCGACGCTGCCGCACCGCGATGACTTATAAAAGAAACGCTGCCGCGATGAATTATAAAATAAACGTGCCGCCACCGCGCCGCTGCCGCGACGATTTTCAAAAAAGTGTTTCTAATTTCACTGCTGTGACTATATTTGACCAGAGATATGGGTACTAGTCCATCAGATTTATTCAATATCAGGGCGTTTCATTTGTAAATCGTGAAATTCCATTAAATTCATACAGTTTTTCAATGCCCTCCAAAAAAATCCTACCGCTGCCGCGCCGCTGCCGCGATGATTTTTTAAAAAACCTGCCGCTACCGCGCCGCTGCCGCGATGACTTTTAAAAAAATCTGCCGCTACCGCGCCGCTGCCGCGGTGATTTTTTTTAAAAACCTGCCGCTGCCGCGCCGCCACCGCCACCGCGGCAGCGGCAGCGGCAGCGGCGGCGGCGCGGCAGCGCCGCGATGGACATCTCTGCTATAGACCCTGAACTCTTTTTATGGTAGATAAAGTTCGTCAAGGTCTGAAAGATACGTACAATCTCAAGTGAAAAGCTCTAATATATTCGAAAATATTCTCTCTTCCATTGTTTATATAAGAAAATTAATGTAAAAAAACTCTGGTGTTCATAGATATTGAAAACTGTGAATAATGTAAAACTCATATATCCTTCTCCAAGGCATGCCAACAGTAGCTAGTATTTTAAATTTGATAATTTGGTGGTAAGAGCTTTATTTTGACCTGAATATCTCTAGTCTTTTTAACTTACAACACAAAAACTTCTATTGTAAATAAAACTATGTAGTTTAATGACAATGTGAATACTAGAAAACACTAGAAAATCATCTAACTGGATCCTTTGTGTGTTGATACTATTCACATTTTCAATTAAATAAACTAAAGAGCAAAATAGTAGTAGAATCTTGTCAATTGATATATGAAGTATTCAGTCTTTTTTTTTTCATAACTTTGATAATTACTATTGTTTTCTCCAATAGATTACTAATAATAACTCGTTTGTAGAGACAAACTTGTCTAATCTTCTATATTTTTTGAATGACGTGGTTCTCATCTGATATGTATTTCTATTTGTATATGAAAACAGGACATTCTTCTTTAGACTTAAAAAAGACGAAGAACACAATGTTCAATAACTAACAATCGAGCAAAATTCTTTAAAATGTTTTTATGAACAAACTGATATAGATGATGTTGGTTTTACATGAATATCTCATCTTATTGATTGTTCAAAATGATTCTTTTAATAATAATGAATTTGCTTATCGAACTCAAATATAATCAATAAATGAAGATAAAACTGTAGATAATAATTCAATAAATGATTTATCAAAGCCTTTATTTTTTGAAAAAAAGATTTCTAAATAAATGTAAATACTTTTTTCCAAATCTTCGTCATAAATCATTGTCTATTGGTTCTATTGAATTTTAATCAAACAATTTACTGTTCGAATGTAATCTATGAATCAATCTAATAACGTTCGATAGCTCTGCATCCGAACATATACTTAATCACTTAAACTGAAGAATTTCGTTAAATTAACGAAAAATATTGATTTAACGTGGAAAACGAAGAAAAAACGCCGATTATAATCGGTATTCCGACCAGTAAATTTTCTTTAAATATTTTTTGAGCAAAAGATACCTCTGGATAAGATTTTTTTAAATTTTTGTATTTCATTTACTTACTTATGCTGATCATTTTGAGTTTGGTAAAGCTGATATATACTACTTTGGGCATAATCTATGTGGAAAGTAGCGTCTAAAAAATTATTATTTATAGATGTGAAAGCAACATTTTTCATGACAATTTGAGCCAGTCAAAAAGCATTCCACGGTCATTTTTTAAATAACATTTTTTCCACAAAAGATAGAAACCTGCACCTTCTATCACACTTATTCATCTGGATAAGACCTTAATAGAAGTGATGAGTGATTTCGAATTGAAATCAGAGCCAGTTATTCCATATTTTAAAAAAGAAATGATAGCTAACGGTAGCTACGTACAAAAAAAAATCAAATTAAGGATACATTCAATCTTTATGTTATTCAAGACGAATGCATTGTTTTGACCCATGTTGCATATCCACAGTAGAGGTGTGCAGGGTAAGCTTTTTTTGTACGCTGTACCCTGCGTGAGCAAATTTCCCACACCCTGACTCTACCCTACCACGCTGCATTCGTACCATTACCCTACCCTGCCCTGTAGAGTCTGTACCCTTGCCATACCCTACTACCCTACAATTTTCTTATTTTCCTTTGCCCTTTCGCTATTCAGAAGATTGTAAAAATGATAAGTTACAGAATAGTGTCACGTTTTTCTAGTTTATTTTATTTTTCATTACAACATATTCATTTATAATTCCTCTGAAATTTCTAATAAATAATATATCATCAACAATGTCATCATTTCAGCTTTGTCGTCGTTCTTTCAGAGTTCTGCCACTTTCACTAAATATTCTTTCAGTGGTACATGAACTAGCTCGTATACCAAGTAATGATCTGACAAGAATACTAAGTTTTGAATATGTCATTGTCTATTTTTTCCATCAGCGTAATACAGGTTCTTCATGATTGATAAACAATTAATCTCGCTTTCTCTGTAGAAAATTCTTTTTTTCCTATTATAAGACAAAACCATGTGTAACCGATAAACAATTACTTACAAATACATCTCAGATGCACCTCCTCTTTTAATCCTAAAACGCAGCTCGACGCATATTATCTGTTCAGTATATAATAGGTCTATCATCTGGATCTAAATCATATGATTTCAATACTGATTTAATAATTCAGATTGTATTTTCATCAGTCTTATTTCCTGAGACTAATAGTGCTTTTAACATATATGTTACTCGAGTAACATTTTTGTATAGCGAATGTTCACCGTTACACAGTTGTTACCTGTATAAGAATTTTTCCAATAATCAATACTGAAACTAATTAATTTAACTTCTTTTAAATCTTCACGTAAAACATCATTCATTTTCAAACGATACTCATTAGCAATTTTTTTAATGCTGTGTGATAGATTTATATGATCAGGCAGTAATTCTTCAATAGAAGGTTTACCTAATTTATCTAAGCCATACTTATAATCCACGTCAAATATTGCCTGACATATTTGTTTAAAACCTTCAGCATTAACAGAATTAAAAGAGCACATGTCAAAAGCACAAAATTTTCAACATGCAGCAGTAATCATTCTTTTGTCATCAGAAAGTATATTAATATTTTTTTAAAATATAATTATTAATAGACATTGTAGATTTCGGTGAACTAGTTTTCTTTGTACAATTCTGTACATGAATATTAAGTGAATTATTTCCATTTTTGAGTTCATATGATAATATTTGTTGACAAATTGTACATTGAACAAATGGTTCATATACTCGATTGGTATATTTTATTCAAAGCAAATTTGACTAAAATTCACCTTTCGAAGATGCTGGTGGTTCTTTAACTGTACATAGTTTCCCTTCTTTAATTATCAACAGAATTTCTTTTTTTGTTTTCCAATTAACTTTTTGATAATCTATTTGACATATTATAAATACACAATAAATCGATTGCAAGTTACAATATTCAATCAACTATCTCAACAAATCAATATAAATAAATAAAAATTAACTCCTATTCATAATATTATTTCAGGCAAATCAGTAAATAAGTACAAAATCAATTGTAAGTTTCAATATTATTTTACATAAGTCAATAAATAGACATGAATAAATAGTAAATCAATCGAAATCACAATACCATTTCAATTGAGTCAGTAAATGAATTTAAATAATCATAAATACAATGAAAATACTATTACTGTTTCAATTCAATTAATAAAAAGAGATGTCAATTATTAATAAATCGATCTTGATTCACATTCTAAAGTTCAGTAAATCAATGATAGAGAAGATGATAAACAAGAAATCGGTATTCCTTCCTATCGATTTTATCGTATAATAAAGTAAAATGACTGGTCCTTTATCGATTCACTAGAATAATCATACGAGAAAGATGCCACTAGAAAATGATCATTCTTCAATAATCATGTGAAGATATCGATATAGTGAATAATAGCCCATCTACACATTGGAATCAAGACGATTTTATTCTCTTACCCTTACCCTACCCTACCCTGTAGCACTCTTATCGTGACCCTACCCTCCCCTGCAACAGTTTTACCCTGACCGTACCCTACCCTGCGAAGTAGGGTAGGGTAGGGTAACCCTGCCCACCTCTAATCCACAGTGAAATGACTGCGTTCAAATTTAATTAAACTGGTGTTATAATTATTACTTGCATAAGCGATTTCTGTGATTGACTCAATACCAACTCTCTATTCGGACTAGTACCAAGAGGACAAAAGAATTAACTACAATCACTTGTCCCAACTCATCTTTATTTTACATCTACTGAATGTTAATATTCAGGTCATCAATATTCTTTGTTATTCAGATCACTAGAAAATTTGCTTATTTCGCTTTTCTTTTGTTTTGATGGTTTAACAGTAATCATCGCCGAATATTGTAATTATATCTCATCAAAAGCTATTTTGAAGTTTCTTTTTTAAATTTTTCATCATTAAACAGATAATTGATTTTCATCTTCACAGACTATCTTTGCTTATATAATTATAATAATAATTGTAAATAAAGGATGTTTTATTATCATATAGAAATTAGAAAACAAAACTTATAAAATACATGAAGGAAAGGTAAATAAAAAGGATAAAAATAGTAATGCATTAATGAAACGATTAAAATAATAATTAAATGAAAAGAACAAACTCTATCTATATATGCATATATTTCCTTATTTAGAATATTGAATAAGATCATTTATTTGAACATTATATCCATCAGGGGTATCAATAATTTTATATGTTTGTGATATTTGTGGAAAACGATTATAAAAAATAATTTTCACTACTTCGGGCCAATTAAATTTTCTTCCATTGCCTAATCTATTATTTGAATTTTGATATAAATAATTTGTAAGTAATGTTAATAAACGTTCTCGTTCTTTTAATTGTTCTTCATTTGTATGAAAGCTTTTATCTTGAGTTGTATTAAATAATATATCATTTAAAGAACGAGGAATATCTTGTAAACCAAAATGAAGAAATAATGGACGAATTTGAGTTTGAATTTGTTGAATTTGTTGTTCAGGATCTTAATCAAATAATAGGTTGATGTATATTTTGTTTTTAAATATTACTTTCTTTTTTTTTTATATACTTACTTAATCCTGTTAAATTAATTGTTGAACTTGCTGTTGTTGATGCCTTTCGTTCTGAAACGAAAAATTTTATGATTAATCTTTGCATTAACTAACGAATATTTCACCATGATTGAACGATGTTAACAATTATTATCATATGTCTTATTCTTTCTTGGTTAACAAGTTTAAAGTATTTATATACGCTTTACGATGATGATATATTATTTCTCTACATTAATAAACAACTTCACAAAGATGAAGATAATATTCGTTAGGAAATATCTAATATTTTAGTGTTAGACATGCACACATGAAAAATAACAATAAATTGCATCGATAACAATAGACTGATGTTCTCCGAGTCTTTTATTTTTTTTCTTGTTAAATTTTATCTAAATAATTTAGGTCTCCTCGAATGTCGCATAGATTTATCAATACAAGAAAAGTGTCTCAAATTAGAATAACAGACATGTAATCAGCATCGGTTGTCAAAAATCTCGATCAATTCTCTAGCTATAGTGCAAGTCTCTAATAGTGATTTGTAAACATATACTAATGATATTAAATTTGTTCTACAACACACACTTAAGTTAATTATCATAGTATCAAAATAATTTTAATTATTTCATAAATAGTAATCGACAACTATTCAATAGTTTGAATCTTCAAATATAGAGTAGTGAACAAAAGTCTACAACTCTTCTCTAGTTGATTTCCAACACTGTATGTGTTGAAGGTCTGAAACTTTGGGTACATGTACTCCACCAAGAATATAGATCATTAGCATGATGAATACTCTTTCTTTTTACAGTTATGAGACTGACAACTAAAATACGTGCCATCCATCATGATTTCCTATGTAATTAGGTGATAATGGCACTACAATGTCAATGATTTATATTCTTAGTGACGTGTTTGTACTTAAATTTTCAGATATTTAGCACATACAATAGGGAGATCGGCTAGGGTTAAAACTTTTCTCTACTAATATAGATTATGATACTCAGCTAAGTCTAATATATATAATATTTATTATTCAAATTATAAATTTATTATATACAATGATCATTCATTCATTAGGAACTATTAATTAGATTAAATTTATGATTGAAACTTACCGTTAATGATAACATTAAAATTCATAAATTGTGTTTGTACTTTATGTTTAACATTTGCAACATATTTACCAGCATGTTCATATTGAGCGTTTTTTATAATTAAACGATGATTACCATTTGGAGACGATTCTATTAGAAAATATTCACTTGATGTTATTTCTTGACCATTCTTTGTCCATATAACTTGAGGTAATGGTGTTCCTGTTGCTTGACATTCAAGAGTACATGAACCACCTTGACTTACATGAACATCGACTGGTACTGATGATGTATCAGCTACATCTACTCAATTCATATCAAAAAAATTAAGTTGTTCAATTTAGATATTTCATTTTACCTCTAACAGTGACTTGACTAATTAATTCAGTTGTACTCATTGAACTTTGAACAACTGCCTTAAAAAAGAATTAAAAAAAAAGAAATATGAAGTAGAAATAAAAAGTTTCAGTGTTTTCTTTACTTTATATAATCCAGCGTCAGCTAATTCAACGCCAAGTAATTTCAAAATATGTGTTGGTCCATCATCAATCATTACAACACGATTAGCTTTTTGATAAAGTTGTTTATCATTATGAAACCATACACAAGATGGTAATGGAGTACCATTAGCTGTAACCGTTATTGTAACATCTTGTCCACGTGATACGTCAAAATCTTTTAATTTTTGTTGAGTAACTGGTGGTGCTATGAAAAAAAAAATTGAAGAAAAATAAAAATTTTAAAACTTCATAATTAATTATTTTCTTTTGTTAACTTACGAAGAACTTCAATATTAATTTCTGCTGTATGTGTACCATATTGATTTTCAACTTTACATTCATATTTACCAGAATAATTAACTGCTCCATGTGGAATAATAAATATTGCATGACCAGTTGTTTGATCAGTTTTTATTTCATAACCATCTTTATTTGATAAAACTTTTCCATCACGTAACCAAGTTACTTTTGGTGTTGGATGTCCTTTAGCAATACATTCAATTGTTAATTTTTCACCTGTTTTGATTTGAATAAACTTCGGTGGTGCTTGCGTAAATATGGGTGCTTGTTGTCCAGTAACTCGAATTTTTTTCGTTCGTACTGAACCTGCACTGGTTGTTATTACAGCTTGATATTCACCAAGATAACGTTCATGAAAATGATGAAATTTAATACGATAATAACCTTCTTCAGTTACAATTAATTCATAATCAGATGAAGTATATGATAATTCTTCTCCATTTAATAACCATGTTACTTTTGGTCGTGGTTTACCTTGTGCACGAATTTCTAAGAAAAATTCTTCACCTATTTTAGCTGTATTTGCAGCTGGAGAGTCATTTAAATCAGCTAATAATTGTGGTTTTTGTTCTTTGACAGTTACTACAGTTTTTACTTCTAATGTTCCACCTTTATTTTTGACTACCATAGTATAAACACCTTTATCTTCTGGACGTAAATCATCAATAACTAATTTATAGGAATTATATTCTTCAGTAACAACACGAATACGACTATCAAAACGAATTTCTTGAGAATCTTTATACCAAGTTACTGTATTATTTTCACCACTAAGATGAATTGGTATTTGTGCTTGTTCACCAACATTAAATGATGTTGTTGGTTCAAGTTTAGATTCTAATTTAGGTTTCGTATGAACATTTAATGTAGTACTTGTTTCGACTTTTTCAAGACCATTATCAATAACAGCAGTATATTTGCCTGTATCATTTGTATCTAATTTACTAATAGTTAATGTTGTTTGATTTGGATTCTCTTGTGGTGTATCAACTTTATGTTTTTGTGATGGTTTGACTGGTTGACCATTGAAGAGCCATGTTACTTTTGGT